GGGGGGGGGGGTGCGATTACTTCTTAGGGAAGCGATTCTGCCATTAGAGTCCTGGGGCATGGAATGTGCTAGGCCTTTTATTGCGAGACCAGTAAAAACAACAACAGCAATAATAATAATATGGAGAACAACCCCCCCCCCCCAACCCTTGAAGTCTTTGGTCAGAGTGATTTTTATTTTGCACATATCTAAAATCAAATCGGAAAGATCTGGATCTCCACGCCCGCCCCCCAACCACGAAGCCATCCCTGAGCCCCCTCCCTTAGGAAGAAGCGAAGTAAACGCGAACCACGGTTATGCACAAACAGTTTGTCATTTGCCAGACGCCGCCAGCAGGAAAAGACCTCCGAACCCCTGTACCCGAGGCGGATTGAGCGCACCTCGGTCCCCTCGTCTCATCCGATTACGTTTCTTGCTTCCCAAACTTCCTCTCCTGAGCCAGGGACCGGCCTGTGCCTTGCTCGAATGCAGACGCATGACCCAAACTCCCTTTCCCTTTCCACCCCGCCATCCTTCCCGTGAAGTTTGGATTAAGGCAGAAGGTTAGAAAACCCTTCCCAGCGGGCACTACTTCCCCACACCGCATCCTGGCTCCTGGAGCCCGACCCTTACCGGCAGGTTCCGGTGGCTAGTGCGGCTCCTGGGACGATGTAGACGCCCCATATCCAGGCGCGGGTGCCAGCTCGCTGCCAGGGCCCGCGAGCTGCGCGCATTCCCTCGGCCGCGCATTCCCAGGGCGGCTGCAGGCTGCGCGCTCCTGGAGGGCGGGCGGCGGAAGACACGCCCTCTCCGCTCATGCAAATCGCGGGGGGACTTCAGCCAATAGTCACCGGCTCGTCAGCTGAGGACCAGAGCAAAAGGGGGGCAAAAAGGCGAAGGGGCAGAAGGGCCCATCCACGCTTTCCTGCCTCGGACCTCGGTCCGCTGAGACGGCCGGGGGAGCCCTCCCGGGGCCTTGTCGCCGAAGAGGGCGATGAGGCGCCCCTGTCGATTTCAGGCACGCGTGCCTCCCAGCCTCTCACCTTGCCGCACCTGTCCCATCCCAAGTCCACGGGTGGCTGGCAAGAGAGGGAGAATTAAAATAAAGAAGCATGCTTGCATTTGTATCTGGACGGAACAGAGAGAGGAAGTCAGCGCCACAGAGTAATTCCGGGAGCGGTCCCCAAACGCTTTGCCACCCGTTCCTCCTGGAGTCGGATCCAGCAGTGTTGACACAGAGAAGGAAAATGCACTTTTTCTCAGTGGAGAGAAAAAGAATTCCAACTTCACTGTAACGTGATGTGAACCGGAAAAGTAAATATGTGAATTCGGTGACGGTTTCCACCTACCTCGATTTTGGAACTGTGCTGTGGGGGGTGGTGGAGCTTCTACTAGTTTCCTAGTTGTCTCTTGGGGTCTGCCTTGTGGTCTTATTTCAGAGGCAGTGGCGGCTTCTGGCCTACGGAAAGAACCAAGAGAAAAATGGTAGCATTTGTGCTGTAACACAAGTTATTCTACCTGCAAGTAATTTGTAACATTTATCTAAGGGATACATTTTTTTAAAAATGACTGCTTTTCAAATTATTACACACACACACACACACACACACACACACACAAACACACACACACACACCGCTGTTTCTTTTTCCTTTTTTGTAAAATCAGGTCTGGTGAGAGTGCATAAACTCTGCGAAACACTTTTCGCTCTGCAGAATGCCATGTAAGTAAAGAAAAAGACCATTTGGTCCTTCCCTGAGTGGACATTTCTCTTTATCATTAGGTTTCCAGATGTGTTCTGCACTGTCCTAACATAAAACCTCACCTGCTCAATGACTAGAGACTGAGACTAAGACATACAAAAACCTTCCACTTGGGTCAGAGAAATAGCTGACTTCCCTGTGCTTTCCATAGACTCTGCTTTAATTTTCTTCTTCTACCATATGGTAACTAGGATACAAACTGCTTGGCTGAGTCAATTGTTTTGCCTCTATTTCCTTCCTATTTTCGCCTCATTTTCACTAATCCTAGAGACAAGAGTCTTAAATATGAACAACACAAGACGTCAAAACACCTGGTGTGTGTCAGCTTGTTATTATGTAAATGGGGCTATGCATAGAGTTCACAAACAAAACTCTGTGATACAATTCTGGCATGTAATATGAACCTGGCCTATAGAATCAATTCCTTCAAGCTCTTTACAGTGAAATTGGAGTGCTGATGAAATGATAAACTCACAGAATCCCACACATACACATGAACGCACATTTGGGTATACAGTCACGATAGAGCTGGTTGACCAAAGTCAGGGAAGTAAATTTGCCTCTCCTTGCTTCTTAGCTGCCAGTTCTGCCCTACAGCTAAACTTTTACCATAACTGGTAAGTATTTACTTTGAGGTCTGTAGGTGAAGCACATCTGATTCCAAAATTCAGTATCAGGTTGCTTCTCCATATGTTTAATTTATGTCTTTATGCAATACTCACAGCTTCCAGAAGTTGGGGCTCATGGCCAGAGTTGGGTCATCCATCAAGGGTCAAAAGACCTGCAGTGTGAAATAACCCTACTCCTGGGCAGACAGTGACAACAGTGGACTGTTGATCCCCTCACAGCTCATGCCCTCTCCAACAGCTTAAATTCATCTGCTTTTTTTAAGTGTGTGAAAATACAGAAAGATCTCTTCCTTAGTTTTTCCTTTGTTTATAAAGACATTACATAGGAGCTATTGTTTATGAAGATAGTTCAACTGAAGTGACATTGTCTGTTTGTAATTATTTCCCTGTCTTTTAATGTCCCTGGATCTTTAAGCTCTCTCTTTCCCTACTTTTCAGTGGATGCTTTTAGTACAGATACACCTCCTTTATAAGGTACGCCCCCACCTTGTATCCCACCTCAGCAGCATCTTGGTCTTCTGAATATGTTACCCAGTTGCTCCCTGTGGAAAGGGTTATTAACTAATTCCTCCTTGTTAAATTGAAAATAATAATAATAATAATAATAATAATCTACCCATAGAGCCATAATTTTTTTTAGTGTTTCTAAAAGGCATGAACATGTGAACTACAGAAAAAGCTATTCATGTTAGTTGAAATACAGGAACACATTTTGAAAATAATATTTGGAGTGACAATAATAACCACATTTGCTTTATGTTACTATGGTGATTCCAAAGTCCGTTCATGGGATCTCTCAGATCACTGGGAGATTTTAGCATACAGTTAGGTAGTACTTTACATGTCACATTCCAAACTGCTAACTGAACTGCTTGTTATTATCTTTTCTCTGAAGATCTAAGGACAGGTTTCATGCAGTTGGAGTTGGGCTTAAAAAATGAAAAAGACCAAATGGGCTTCTTTCTTCCATGCAATCTCTTTCTGGGCGTTGTGAAAACATTCCCAAACTTCTGTTACTTATGGTGCCAACCCTGTGACCTGCCATCTGGTGTCACATATTTATTTCTATAGATGACTTAGAAAGTTTCTATACTATTAGTCCCTGAGAATAATACTTAAGAACTTCTCAGATGTCTCAATTGCTCTCGGCCTGTTTCCCAGGTGCTTTGTAAAAATTGTCCTGGAATAATAGTTAGATTATATGCCTCCCAGGACTATTTTTTCTATAGACAAGGAAAACAACATGATACAACAGATAGTACACTGAGCCAGAAGAGTTAGATTCCATTCTCAGGTTGTTACCAAGTTCCTGTGTGACTTTAGACAAGTCATCATACCTCTCAGCTTCAATTTCCTATAAAACACTCTCCCCACACACTACATGCACATATATGCAAAAAATGGCTTACCTGATATCTGACATTAGCTGATACTGCATGAGGACACAATAGTTAACTTTATTATTTATTTATTATATCACTAAAGGATACTGTTTTTCATTTGCTGCAAGCCTTCTCTCCTCGTAGTTTTGTTTCTTTGTAAAGATGTGAGCATGCTTATGTGTATACAAAAATACTATCTTCAAACTTTGTACATTTAGTAAACATACTCTGAAATTTTAAAAATTTTCAAACTAATGTGTTTTACAGGTAGTTTCTTTTGTATCTTTCAACTAATTCTGATTTAACCTTTTAAATTAGTTTAGTGATAATGCGGTGTTCACAAAGTTTTATGTTATTTATAAATATGTATTTAAACCCATTTTGAATCATAATCCTATACAAGTTCTGGTTAATTCAAAACTATAAATACACACAAATTTAGAATGTCTTATTTTAAGAGCATTTCATTGTTTGTCTTGTTAATTTTTTAAGGAATTAAAATATATGTGTGTATATCATAAATGTATTATATACATATATGTAATTAGTGCAAAATATACTCCATATGTACATAAACTACAATAAGTATATAATTAAATATTATATATATTATTTTTCCGAGTCAATAATCGGGTTACAGGATGATCATATTTGAAGAAACAATATGATATTTGAGACATAATAAATTTATCATTTATTGATTGTCATTTATGTTCCAAACGTGCTCCCAGTTACTTTACTTGTATTATTTAGTTAATCCTCACAGTAGTTTTATAATATAGTTATTTTTATACCAATTTTACAGTCATACATTACATGCTTGTCCAGTGTCTATGGAACCTGATCTGTGTCTTTCAAAGGGTATAATCTTTATACTCTGGCACACTCTTCTCACCTGAATGAAAGATCTAGGTCCTATGTACATTTAAATGTATTTCAAGCCAATAAACATTTATCACTTATTTACCATAAAATGTTATCAGAGGCATAGATTTGTTATAGGATACTTTTTTGAAGAAAAAACTTATTTTGCCCATTACTACTTCCTAAAGAAATGCATACACATATACACAACTTGACTAAGCTATTTGTTTAGCTTAGATATTCTCTCAACTTGTGGACTTAAAATATATGTGCGTACCTGTGTATTGTAAAGCCCTAGGTAATTTTAGAGATCACCTAGTTAGTCCTCACTCCACATATTAGTTGACAGTAAGAGAGATGACTTGTAACTCACTCAAATTCTCAGAGTACTCTATTTCTTAGAATAGTGCTAGATCTTGGCCTCAGGATTGTCTCATATTAGAGGATAACTTAGAAAAATAACATTTAAAAAACATCTATTACAAAATAAAAAAAAAAAAACAACCCTGGATCGTAAGCATTATTGCAAGTTTTAATTTCTTTTTTTTTTTTTTTGAGTTGGAGTCTCACTCTGTCGCCCAGACTGGAGTGCAGTGGCCGTTCCTGGCCACCGCAGCCTCAACCTGCTGGGCTCTGGCAATCCTTCCGCCTCAGCCTTTCGAGTAGCTGGAACTACAGGCGTGCGCTACCACGCCCGGCTAATTTTTTGATTTATTGTAGAGATGAGGTCTCGCCTGGCCAGGCGGGTCTCGAATCCACGGGCTCAGGTAGTCCACTCACCTCACCTTCCCAAAGGCGTGGGATTACAGGCTGAGCCAACAAGCCCGGCTGCAAGTTTTAATTTCTTTATCTTATTTTAATTTTTCAAATTTACAAATACTTTTAGCAAACTATTATTTTGAGTAAATTGTTTTGCAAGTAAATCAAACAAAGTCAGGGAAGTCCTCTATCAGTTCCCCAAATAATTCAGAAGTTAATTGTGAGATTAATAGGGGGTCAGTATACTGGTTCATTTGCTAAAAAACAAAAAAAAAATGAGCAGTTAATTTAGTAAATAAATATACATTTACACTACTTGAATGAAAAGAGTGCAAATAAACTAAATGGCTATAATACTTGCATTCTAAAACATTG